CAATATCCTCGTTCCGATCTTCTGAAGTAAAATGGGAGGCAAGCATATCTTGGAATCCCCCAGAGGTCGGCACGTTTTCGGTGTTCTGAAAGCTTCCATCTGCATTCACCTGACCGGCAGAGCTCTCCGCCACAGCACCGAACCCCACAGACTCTAACGAATTGCCGCCAACAGCAAATGAGCCGTCATCAGGCTCGACGTCGAAAGCGAAATCCTCTCTGAAGTCTTCTTCCTCGTTGTCGGCCCCGTCATCCATTACAACGACACTGGCCTTGTCGTCGATGGCGTTCTTTAGCTCTTTAGCGAGCTTGATGTGCGGCGGCATTTCAGAAGTCGCAGTCGGCTTCCTTGTGCTGTAGAGCACCTTGAATTTTCGCCGTAGGCTGTCAAACTCCCGCTCCGGCCACCCACGCATCCTACTTCCATTGTAGAAGCCCGCCAGCCTCTCCCATTCGTCCTTACCAAGGGGAAGGATGTCTTCAATGAGATTCAGCAAGCGGGAGATCTCTGCCATCTTGTAGTTTGCGCTACCCGACACCTTCGCCATCGTTAGAGCCACCGCTAGTGGCGTGAGACTGACGGCGTGGACTTGCTCGGCTTTGGCATAAAGCAGAATGAGAAACTTCGTGTACCGGCTTCAGTCGCTTTTGCTGCGCCCAGTTAGTGTCCAACCTGTGATTCGAAGGCCATTTGCCATCTTCAACCACGTTGCTCTCCAAAACCAACCGAATACCGCGGAAGAAGGTCGTACCGAGTGTGACCTTGCAGAAACTAAGAATAGAGAACATCAACATGAACAACACATCTTGATTGAGTGCCGTCTTCCTGGAGTCTCGTCCCTACGGAAGGTCCAATACCTCTACATCTCCCCTGTGGGTCCGTGACTCGCTCTCCGTGGCGGCTGCTACCTAGCCTGCTACCTCGCCTCGTCGAGCCTTGGCTCAAGGATCTTGCTTGTCTTGTATGTCTCTGTGGACACATCCATCGAGACCACAGCGACAGACAAACCACAAGTCGTCCCCATAACCAACGGTGACCTCCTCTCCGCGAAAGACGCGCTCTGTCGTCGCAACCACGACCGTCGTTCGGCGCCAATTGCTGACCTCCAAGAACTCTGCAACCGGCCGGCACGAGTGGATCGCGAACCGCATCAATCCCCCCATGGTCTCTGCATTTATTGCGACTTGAACGCGGTGGGCCGGAGATTCGGGACGTTGCTTCATCACCAATCGATATCCGTTGTTCCGCGGGCGCCGAGCTCGCGAGACACTGAGGTGCTCAAGCTCGCCGAGATACTGCCCGATCACCTCTCCGACGCCGATGTCCTCCGCCGCAACCACTGCCAGCGATGATGTACGCACGTTGCGCCCCAGGAATACCTTCGGAGACTCTGCCAAGCCGTTTCCGCACTTTCCTTCAAATGGGCAGGTGTTGACGTTACAGAATACATCCATGAGCGAGTTGCGACAGACTCCGACCCGGAACGGCGATGAGCATGTACACCAGCCGAAGTGCGGCACGTACGGGAATCTAATGTACGAAGGGTTATAGGATTCGCGGAGGTGAATAACACGATTTGGCCACCGCGCAGGCACGAAGAGCTGGAATGTAGGCGCCGTTGACCTTCTTGGCAGAGGACGGGGGGTCTCTGGCGAAGATGCCAACGACCCGTTATCGTTGAGCACAAGCAGTTCGCGGTTAAGCGGAGCATATGGGCAAGATGCACTTCGGCGGGCTTCACGACGCCCATGGCGAGCCGCAGATGTCTTTGAACGTGCTGCAAGTCGCACAGGAGAACGCGGAGGAGTCTCCAGAAGCAACGGGGAGGATGTCGTAGGACTGGCAGGTAAACGACGACTAACCGGACTGCGAGTTGCAGCACTCAGATCCTGCGATGATGGCAAGTTCGACTTGTCCTTCGGCACGCGATCCGTGAGCCCGGGCGATAACCATGGAGGCGTAGCAGTCCCTGATGACGCCAGATCGGACTCTGTGCTCTGGCTATCGGGTACTTCCTTGGTCTCCGGCGATGCCCTGCCCTGCATGACGTTTGGAGGAGTATTCTCGTCGTCGCTGTCAAGCACGCAGCGAACCTTCCAGTGCAGTCCGGGGTGTCTTAGATGCACCATGTCTCCTGTAGACACATACATGAGCGTTAAATAACAACACATAAACTTCACTGCTTGTCACCCACCTCTTCTCGCCTCTGGCCGAAATCGAAAGTGATGGCCAACTTGAAGTTGCGGAGCTTTATGCCAGAGTTTAAGTCGCTGGCTTCTATCAGAGTGATGGTCGACATAAAGGTTACAAATTTCTATATTAAATTTTAAGATGGCTACACGACATAAATCTAGGGGTAGGTGCGTCTCGTGAGACCAAATATACGTCTCACGAGAATTTATGTCATCTTAAACTTTGACATATCTGCTGCAAAAATGACACGTGCTTATGCTATTTATGGAAGGCACCCATTGGTTGATGACATTGCATTTCTATAGGTGACTTATAGTTTGTATTAAACCCAAGCTTTATCTACCGATAAATATACTCGGTTTACATTCTACCTTAATTAGGTCACTTCGCTCTCTTTTGAATAAAGAGGTGACCTGTGAACTGCCGTTAACTGAGAGTTTGTATACTCTCGGAAGATAACTTCCTTTAGCGCAAGGTGCTGTGTGACCTCGTCACAATGAACAACCGCAGACTACCCGACCCAAGGAGGTGGAAGTATCGGATCAACACCAGACCCTCAGATAATACTATTGCAATAGAATTGCTGCATCACAAGAAAATAAGTAATTGTTATCAGCGTGAAGGAACGCAAATAATTTATTGTCCGTAATGAAAATGTATTGCCATTACCCCGAGCTCACAGCAAGATCAATTCACTGAGCATGAACCACCTTGGCAACGGTGGCTGCTTTCCAAAAGCGCATATTCAGCTTCAAAAACAGCACGGTCTCCAGGTGCCTCGGGAGCATACCGTGGTGATGAAGTGACAGCGTATGCTTCGCGATGCTGAAAAGCTCTCCACGGTATTGGATGTCGGCGGGATGTACTCGACTCCGCGAAACTTCTTCCGGGCCGCGCGCTGCTTCTTTCGCGCTTCCAACACCTGATTCGCGAATCCTTGGGGTCGTGCAGTTCCCGCGTCTTCGCTGCCTGTGTCCGCTTCTGGCACGGTCTCGAACGGTAGCAGCATCAACTCCTGCTCACCCGTCAGCTCGTTGTCCTTTCCTGTCAACGTCAGCACACATGCCTCCTCGAAAGCAGGACTCTTAACTATAGAAGCGTCTGCCGCAAGGTACTTGTCAACCACTGGGTGTTTCACGACAAGAGCATCGAAGATATCACGCACGTCGAGAATCGTCAAGTGGTCCTCCTGAAGCTTCATTGTCGCGGACTGAAAGTCGCCGAAGTCGGACCGCAGCTCCTGTAGACGCTTCTCCTGCCTGCGTGTTGGCATCAACGCCACGACGTCGTCGTCATCGGTGTCCAAGGCAGACCGGATTGCTAAGTATCGGTCAATTTTGAACGTTGACGTCCATCTTGTTGTTTGGCGAAGAACTGGCCGTAAATCAGTTTTTTTCCTAAAAAAAATTAATTAATAAATTAGTAAAAAAAATCGTAATACCGGTAATACTGATTTCTTACCTGAGCGCAGCTGCTTTGCTGAGGCAGCGTAATTTTAGCATAAGCTGTTGAAGCTGCTCCATTAAAGGTTCGTCGTCAAGCAAGTACAATTTTACAGACGGTAGCTTGCACATCCAATGAATGGAACCTGAAGCAAATCAGCCAGCCGAGTGTTGACCGAGCAATTGTCAGCCACCAGAAAACAAATGCTCGCTGTGTCACGCTTAAAGAAAGGTAGAATACCTCTAAGAAACAAGACGTGACTCTCGGCCGACTGGTCTTCAGTCTTTTCATCGACAATCGGTGCTAGTGCTAGCAACACCTTTTCCGAGCGCTGGTCGTGCTCAAAAACCGCAAAAACGGCGACATAGTGCTCCGATTGAAAGCTCCAACCATCAAGCATGACACCAAACGAGGCAGGAAGAATATCGGCGATCTCCATTTCAACCTCCTTGGTCAGCAGGACCGCATACTTCAGCAGCGTCTCCGAGCAAATCGTTTTCATGGTCGTGTACTTGGCCACAGTAGGATCTTCGCAAAAGGAGAAAGGCAGGTTGCACGCCGTGACGTAGTCGAGCCAGGAGTAGATCGTCTGGCTCTTCTGGTCGATGAAGCTTACGAGCGTCCCCGAGTTGACCCCGCTGGTCGTCATCGTTGCGACGTAGTCAGGGTGTTACTTCGTCACATGAAGGAAGATATTGGAGTAGCCAGTCTTCAAGTCTTGTTTGCGGACTGTATACCACACTGGCAGCGGTAGTAATCGGTAGGCTCGTCTTGGCCATCGAGCAGCGGCGTGAAAAAGTAAGAGCAGACTTGCTTGGTACTGAAGGTGGCTTAAGAGGTCATGGCGAAAGCAGAAGTGAGAGATAAATATTAATCGGGAGCTTTACATCATGCACCATTGGTGCGTGCAGCACCAACCAAGCTGTAGGGCGTAATTACGAGGTATATGAAGGCTGTGAGTGGGCGAAACGTAAATTTCGTAAAAAAAAATGTATGGCTTGGACTTGGTAAAAATAAATTACTGGCGATGGACTGATTTTTTTTCCAAAATAACTTATTGACTGCAAAATATTGCATTGGATTTCCAATACAATTATTATTTCGGAGGGCCATCTTGCACCGCAACAAAATTGCAGTCATGGACGCGGGGAGGGTCGCAGAGTTCGGTTTGCCTTCGTCGCTCTTGCAGCGACACGACTCGATCTTTGCCTCCCTTGCCAATCGATCAGGTCGCCTCTAACATTAAAGCTAAAAAAAATGAGTTTGTTTATGCACTTCAACTTGGCTGTGATTGGTTTGATCCAATTTTACACACCAATTGTACATAGAATATCAGACATTAAAACTCATCGAATCGGCCGAAGATGAACTTGCTGCAGGGCAAGAGCAACCAGTATCTACGCGAGGCTATACTCGAGGAAAGCGTGGAGAAGGCGCGGCGCTACCTGACGCTCAAGATTGGCAAGGCTGATGTGGCGGCGCTTACGGAAAGTGGCGGCTTCTCCATGCTGCACTGCGCCTGCCTCGTGGGGAACACGCAGATCGCCATGATGCTACTTCAGCACGGGGCCGACGTACTCGCGCTAACTGACGTAATACTACTGAGCACTGCTGGTAAAACAGTAGTTGGTGCCTTTTAACCTCCCAATGTTGCTGCCAGGATGGCTACACGGCGCTGGATCTGGCCATCTGGAGGGGTCACTTACAGATCATCGAGTTGCTGCGGTCTCAGGGCTGCGTGGCGCCCATGAAAGGTACAGTAGGCTGTAGAGTAGTTGTAGTTAGTGATGCAGAATATTGCGTACTGATACGTGTTGCTGTTAGAGCCCGAGAGTTTGAATGGCAAAGCGATCTCCCACCTTGGACGCAAAGCCACCGTCGTCTTCTTCGAGCCTAGCACGAGCATCCGCACAAGCAGTTTGCGTGGTCTTTACTACGAAGATAAAGGAGAAGCCAAGCTCGTGAACCTCTGGGCCGGCACCGACTACAAAATCGTAGGCTCGAATCCATACTACGAGGAGCTACGCAAGTTTGACTACCAGTACGCCGAGATTCCAGTGACACTCCCGCAAGACTACGACGCCATGCTACAGGGAGCTCTACAAGGGGCGGCATTCTTCGATAATGACAGTGACAGTGAGAGTGACAATGAGATCGAAGAGATCGTAGATGTCCGAGTGCCTCCTGGTCCACTCGGTGTGCTACTCGATAGCGGGATTCAGGAATGTGCTGTCGTTCACGGCTTCACCAACCTCCCGACAGGCGAAAAGGGTCCCATTGAGCAGCATGGAGACGTGTATCCAGGCATGTACATCATGAGCATCAACGAGACTAATGCATCGCTCATGTCGCTGCAGCAGGTCACCCAGCTACTGGGCAAACTTGCGCGTAAGGAGAAGCTCATCCGCTTCGCCGTCTTCCGTCCAGGATCGCCACGCAACCGCAGCATGACAGACACAGCCTCCGAGGTCTCCAACCAGCGCTTGTCTGTCACGTCCAATGCCTCGTTGCCACCTCCAGTGCTAGTTGCAGCCAAGCCGCCAACTCCAAGCTCCGGTCTTGCAAGTTTCTCGTCACGTTTTGCTAACTTGGCAGCGTCTGTCATGGATAAAAAGCCTCCCACCCCTCGAACCAGCATCACGTCGGCAGCAGATGCAGGAACTCCCAAAACAGCCGAGTGAGCGAGCTGTAGTATGCCAGCTACAGCTCACAGCTCGGAAGAATGTCCCTATCGGTGAAGGCCTAAGTGACCAAAGAAAGAGAGAGCGATAAGCGTTTGATGGACGTCACTTTTCTTTTCTTGTTTGCTCTGGTTTCCTTAGACACAGAACTGTACACGGTAGGTATTGGACTCAAGTTGTCTCCTTTTTGCTAGCTAAATAATACGGGGAACTCCGGGTCTAGAGCACCATGTACACCATTCCCCGGTAAACGTCGGGTCCTGGCAGCGTCCAGGACGCAAGCGCGCAGTTCTGGTTGAAGAAATACTGCTTGCCTGTCGTCTGCGAGACCACAGCCTGCCACCCGATTCCTGTGCCGTCCGGGCTTTCTCCCACGTCCTCAAATGTCGAGTCCACAAGGTAATCCACGAAGGTTCCATCGCCCATGGCTAGAGTCAAGTTAAAGAGACTCGTACGAGGTCCGCCGTGCTGCTTCAGATGCTGCTGGGCACGCCGAGCTGCAGGGGCAGCGTTTCTATCCAATAGGCTGATGAAGTTGGCTGCGATCTTGGCTGCACGCTCGGCATTGGCCTTGCTCTCGAACGATGTGAGTGCAGCCATTGCCGTCTGCGTACTGGCTGGGGCTGCCGTCGTTGACTTCATTTCCTTGCGAAGATCACGCAGACTCGCCGAAATCTGGTCCATCCGGTTCAGATGTACCTGCAAGTCTTCGAGCTTGAGTGTCTCCTCTTCAGGCTCTGGGGCAGGAGCTTGAGTTGGCATTTGGGTCGACTCCGGAGCAGTCGTTGGAGTGGGAGGTGGCGCAGCACGTGCCTTCTTGGTGGCACTGACATTGGTCATACTGCTAGTAAGCATGTCTGCCACCTTTGGAGGTGGAGGAGGGGCACTTGAAGGCTGAGGGGCAGGCGCTCGTCTGGAGTCGCGACCGCGTCGTCCTCCTGAACCAACGACCAACTTCTTCGCCACCATATGAACGACCACGGGCATTTCCACTTCCTCTGTCTCCATACTCAGCCGTGAAGAATTTTCGAGCTGGATTTCTTCCACCGCAAATTCTTCCGACCGTCTTGGGACGATGCCTACATTTACAGGATGGATCTCCTCTATGACCAGCTCTTCCACCTCCACTTCTTCCAAATCCAAGCTGCGACGTGGGACAGTTCGCACATTTTCGGGCATTATTTCCTCAACAGTCAGCTCCTCCACCTGCACTGGGATCGGCACATTCTCCAGCTTGCCACTGAACCTGCTCTCCACGATCTTCGAGTTCTCGTCCACAGTCAGGAAACTGGCAGAGTCCGAGTCGTTGGACATGGTGTCCAAGCTGGCATTCTCTTCCTCAGTTAGGAAACTTGCCACTTCCACCTTGAGCACGGTGGGTCCGTCCACTTCCAGCGTCATGACTCTAGCCTGCGATAAGGACTGCCGTACCGCGTCGTGTGTGTGGCCTTCCGTGTTGAGGAAGTTGCCAGCGTCGTCCTCGGCATACTCTTCTTCCTCGTCGCTATACTCTGCTAGCTCTGCTGCTTCGGCTTCGTAATCTCTCTCAGGCCTCGTCGGTTGCTGTGTAAATGTCTCCTTGTACTTACCAATGCCTAGATCAAGTTCTACGGGAGCGGGAGGGGCTAAAATGCTATCACCTAACAGTTGCGGTTGCAGTTCCTCCACGTCTAATCGGTCCTCGTCCTCTCCAGGCGACGATGGCGACGTGGACGCCTTGGACAACCGTTCACTCTTTCCCATTGAAGAAGAAGTTGGTCGAAACTGGAACATGTTGGGCACTTGTTTACGAATACCAGAGGACCCATTGCCACTCCCTCTGTTGCCTTCTTCCGCCGAGTCCTGGGAGCTCGTACCAGTCGTAGAGTCCGAGAGGAAACTGCGTCGAGTCTCGTCCGACGTTTTCCCGGCCGACGCGTGCGACCGAGCTAGGAAGGAGCTGTTAGACGCCAGAGAGCTGCGGATGCTGCCGTCCGAGCTGACGCGAGAGGTGTCGCTCTGTCGTGCAGACGACGCACGACGTGGCAGTTCTCGACTCTGCATTTTACTGCTGCACTTGACACAAATCCGAGTCTTGCGCTTGCCTCCGGGCGCTGACAGATCACTCAGTCGTTGATGCGCTGTCACAAGTTCCTGTATGCTGCACTGATTGCAGATTACGTCTCCACAAGCTGCACAATTGTACTTCTTCCGTACGAGAGAGAAGCTTCGAGTGCACACCACACAGCACACACGACGACTGAGAGGCACCATGTCTCTCGGTCCAGCGTACACGAGCATATCCAGACGACGCTGGTTGATATGGTCTCGTATGCAGGCGGAGCGCATGGCTGCAGTGTCCACCATCTTGTGCACCAGCCACGAAGGCAGACGATCTCCAAGGTCGTTGATCACCATCGTCACAAACTCCAGACTCCCAGGTGCTCGTTCACTCCACGTCTGCAGCGTCAGCGTCTTGGCACGCACAAAAAGATGTTTGGTATCGCGAGGAGGGAGTACATCCAGCTCGACACTTTTACACAGTCGGTAGCCAACACGTCGGCCGTCTCCGTCTTCGAAGGAATCCACGAGCTCGACGTAGACATAGTCCCGGTGTTTGGCAACAGAGGGAGCCAACGACCGCACACAGTGCCATTTGACACATACGAAGCGCTCTTCAGGTGTGCGTGGTACCAACGTGTACAGGACTTGTCCGTCCAGAAACTCGCTGGGGTTTACAGCGCTCTCGTGGTCTGCAAAGTCGGCGCTGGTCTCCGTGATGAGCAGGTCGGTGATCTCTCGGAACGTCGCACTGACGTTGCATTTTCCCCTCACAGCGGCATCCAGCAGCGTGTTGTCCGGCCCACTTCTCGCTCGATGGATCGTCACGCCCTCTCTCGCTCTGCTGGGCGTCCAGCGCACACGCCCGAAGCCCAGGCTTAGGTTATAGGCATCGTCCACAGATTTGTCGATGAAGTTGACGAGCGCCTGGAGGCGCTCGGTCGAGAGTTCAGGCAGATTCTGCGCCATGTCACTTACCATTGATGACATGCTCTCGTCACGGAGACTCGAGGGCGACGTGACCGACGATGAGCGCGCAGACGGAGAGCGGTTGGACAGAGAGGTCATGGACGCAAAGCCTCCCGATCGCGTGGACGAAGCTGAGTCTCGTGACGGCGACGGGGCTGGTGATCTCGATGATGAAGGGGAGCGCGTAGATTTCCTGGGTCGCGGTTGACTGTGATATCTCTCCTGATGCTGTTGTTGTGGGTCGAACGGGTCGTCTTCCTCGTCGTCGTCTCGGTCCAAGTAGGGAGTACGTCGTCCATTATTGCTGCGACTGCTGCTGCTGCTGGGAGCGTTTGAGTCCGTGAGCGTCTGACGTCGACGCCTGTGCAGATTGAGTTTGGCGACACTGAGAGCGGCGCTCAAGGTCTCGGAGGCGGCGGCGGTGAGGGCCGAGACAGCGGAAGGCGCCGAACCTGCGACGGCGAGTCCTCCAAGCATGGGCACGGACGCGCCTCGGGGCAACGTGATGAAGGGCGCGTACTCGGGGCGCGGCATGCCGCTGCGTAGGTACTGCCCTGGCCAGACTATGAACGATTCCTTTGAAGGAGAGAGCAGACGGGAAAATGACTCAATCAGTGTGCATTTGCATTTTCAGTGCCAGTTTGTTAGACTGAACCACAGTAGGTATCGAACAGCTGTTTATTTTTATTTTATGAAGTGTGTTGCGAAAATTAAATAGTTTTAACCGGTGTGGGCAAACAAATACTGTAGCTTCACGGTGTAGATCTATTGCAAGTTTTTCAATCGAAGGTCGCAACCTTGAGATCAGAAGGACTAGTAGCCTACTTCCCTGTCATTAGGCAAATAATGCATGCGCTTTCAGTGTTTCCGCCCGGTTAATCTTCACTTGGGACTTAGATAAAGCTGTGGCAATTACTGATTTTCTATTCGGAACGTGAGTGAATCGGTGTAAACTATTTTGTAGAAATACATGATGATCAGCACAGAGAGACACCACGTACCGATTCAGCATGAAATGCAAATTACACTGATCGCGTCATTTTCCCTACGACGACCCAATGGGGGGTTAGGGCATCAGATCGCTTGTGTGATACAGCCGGGTCTACGCATACTTTTCCAGGTCAACGGCCGTTGCCTGGAGCCATTTCGCGAGAGAAATTCAAAAGGCAACTTTTGAAAAGTAAATTTCCAATGGAAGTCAGCAGTAATACATAAGTACCAGTATCGAGAAGACGACTATCCATAGACGTTTTGCAGCTCTTTGCTTTCAGAAACGGGCTGCAAATCGGCAGTGCCAAGTTTGTTTGACCTGCGTGTGTGCCAGCGAAACAGGCGACAGAGGGTTTTGTGGTGAGTGAGGACGCGGAGAGGGTACAGACTTACTGGCGACTGTCGCCGAAGTGGGAGTCTATTCAGATTCGCTGAAATCGGCCGACATGTTCAGGGCCCACACATATTGAAAGCTTGTCAGCACTGTCGGAAATGTTGGAATTGTTGCTTCGATCGAAATGAGGCACGCGCCACGGCCTTGCATTTTCAGCGAGTTCGCGCTGTCCTATCCATACCTCTCCGGTTTGGGGGAACTAACAGAAGGCAAGACTGTCAGCAGGTTTCCTGCCATGTTTTCGCCAACAGCTCTCGCTCTCTCTACACCGCGAGCAATAAGAGCTGGCCAAGGTGAGCAGCGGGCAACTCGCTCGCAAGTGATTAATCGAGGCAACAAGGCCAATCAACAGCAGCAACTGTAACATCAACAACGTGTAATAACCAGCCGCCACTCGAGAAGCACAGACACGCAAAGCCCATTGCGTCACCCCCGCTTCTTTCATCACTACTTGTACAACCTTGGCGCTTGTTCCGCCCCAGCTTCGAGGCTCGAATCAACATCACTGGTGCAATTCAGTTGAACGGGTGCGATTACAGTACATGTAACACATTGGTCCGTTATTTACGGTTCTATTTACAATGTGACGATGAGTCACTCTCTCGAGGGCATTCTTCATGTATAGTGTCAATACAAACTGCCGGTCATGGCGCAGGAAGTGATCATCGCTGGGCGCAGCTACTCGCTGTCTGAGACACTACGCAGCGCCGAGCTGGCTCCGATCTTCGAAGACGCATGGACAGCATCACGCGTGTGGGAAGCCAGTCGCTTCTTGGCTGAGCGCCTTGTACACTTCGCCTCTGGGTCACCCGTCACCTTCAACGTGAGCGCCGGGCAATCAGTGCTGGAACTGGGCAGCGGCTGTGGCCTTGCGGGACTCGTGGCGGCCTCATTGGGTGCAGATGTACTGCTCACGGACCAACGTGAGGCGCTTGAGCTGCTGGAACGCAACGTCGAGACCAACGCGACGTCCAATACCGAGCGAGCGCGTCTTCACGTGGCCGAATTCGTCTGGGGCTCCGACTGGAGTTCGCCCCGCAGTAGCTACAACTACATTCTCGTGTCGGACTGCATCAACCCCATTTACGGACAGGACAGCTGGAGAAACCTGGCGCGTAGTATCTATAGATTTAGCAACGAGGAGACGATCACCTACTTAGCCCACGAAGCCAGGGGAGAGGACGAAGCTATGGGAGATTTTTTGGACTCCAGTGCTGCGATGTTGCGGTGCGAACGCATTGGTCAGCAAGGTAGAATCAGCCTCTTTAGGATCAGGAAGCAGTACAAATAGAGGGATAATGGCTGGTTTAGTGGTGGGATATTGGTAATGACATTGTCAAAAGACTCCATCGCGGTCTTCTGGGGCCACGCCGGAGGTTTCCCTTCAACTGGAAGCTCGCGGCAACGTTCCAGCTGCGTCGTCTTGCCAAGACTACTACAGTATCGTCCAACCAGGAGCTCTGTATCGTTAAACCAGACACCACCTCGAGACAGAGCAGCTACTTCGTTGCTGGAGGTGCTACACACTTTAGTACGCGGCATTAAGGGCGAGATGAGCAACTTTACGAGGAGCATGCGAGCGATGGACTAGCCGGCAGACAACACAATCCACATTGTCGGACAGAACGGACCGCGCTATAATTCTCCAGCAGTGGCAGCCGAAGATCGCGATTTTTTCGCCCGCGAGAGCGAGTTGGAGGCCGACAAGGAGTTGACACTAGCTGTGGTTCGTCTCCAACTTTACTGCCATGTCTGTGACGATCTCTCACTCTTCTCTTTTTTGCAGTCTGCGTTGACTCGAGAGCGTCATTGTGCCGTGGCCGACAAATAGTTTTACTCTTTCGATCGACGGAAGCAAATCCGTGGCAGCAAGTAAATGAGGAGCTCGACTTTTTTCTATTCTATTTACTATACTCTGGGTTAACGCCGTGGTTTGCCATGCCCAAATGTTAGAACCAACAAAGGCACTTTTTCCTATCAACGAAACAGCAAAGACGCTGTTGCTACAGAAACTGCTCGTATCGACCGCCATCGCAGGAAGATCGAACATCTGCTGCATGTCCTTCAGGCCGAGATCGCCAAGGAGACACGGAGAGAAATTGGTAGTTAGCCTGCAGCTAGTGCTACTGCACCCTTGACGTAGGTTTCACGTTCTTTGTGTTGTAGTAGTAGAATTTCTCGAGTTTAGTGGACCCAGTGAATCGGGGTCGCGGCAGTCTCGACGATGCGTAGCGTTGATCACCAAGACTCGCTACGAGGCAGCACATCGGATCATGCGCATCTTAAAGGTATAAATGGATATACACTACGTAGTCTACGACATACTGTACATGCACACTGTGCCCATATTTGCCCACGTTCTCCAACTGCAGGAACACAAAATCGTGATCCGAGTACCAGCTGCAGACTATTTACACTAGGTGATCGAAGAAGCAAAGGCGCTCAGGTCTTGAATATGCTCGGTTCGTCGATCTCTTCATCCTATTCGTGCGATAGTTTTGCTGCCTAGGAGCCGAAGGCTGGCACCTAATGTTTGCCACTAAACTTTTTTATACCGTGATTGAAATCTACTACCAAGGTAATTTTATTTCCGGAGCGCTGCATGAAGTCTATTTGGCTTGAGCGCTTTCGATGTGTCACCGAGTTGTGCCGTCTTGGAGCTCCGTTTGATTGTTTTCTAGGCGTAAAAACGCACCGTTAGGGTCATTCAAGCGATTGGTTCGTCAAAAGGACCTGGCACCTTTTTCAACGTGGAGCGAGCCCGTCGTGGTTCGTCTTCGGTTGCAAAACTCGAAACATATCCAGAAGACGCCATTGGCGATTTTGATGAGTTGCCATGCTCGGGAAACAAAATACGCTGCTCTTCTTCAAATTGAGCTCTTCGGTGCAGCCGTTCTTCGAGCTCTCGCTTTCTCTTTTGGTAGAATTGCTCACTATTTAGTCGCTGCATCCAAGCAAAAAAAAAGATTTGGAGGTATTATTTTTTCAATAAACGAGGTAAAATGTAAGCAAAGACGTCGCTCGTACCTCCTGCGCCTCACCACTAGCATCTCTGTCGGATGGGAGATTATTCAAATCGGTGGTAATCTCTGACGATGAGAGTTTATTGGCGCCAATCCGACCCAAGGCTTTCGAGATTGCTCGAGTACGTTGCAATTTTGTCTATGTAGAGCGAAAGAATATCACAATATTGATCAGATGGACCGTACTTTTTTCCTCTAGCTAGACCACACCTCCAGTGACAGAACCGTGTGCTCCAAAATGCGAAGTCGATTCTCAAGAGTTGACGAAAAGTCCATTATGCGTTTAAATTGAGACTCAGTGTCCTTCCGTGCTGCCTGAAGCTGTCAAAATGGTGTTATTTTTTCTCGTGGATCGATTTGACAACATCTAGCAATCAAAGCAGATCCTACCGTGTTTTCTTTCGTCGCGCCTGCATCTTGGTGAAGATCATCTCCAATTTCATCGAGTGCTGCGAGCATTCGCCTCCTCTACATGTAGAGAAAGAAACAAAGGTATTAATAAGTCAAGGGTGTGATACGAACTAGAAATGGTTAAAATAAACCAGATCGTCTGTCCGAGTCTCCATCAAATCTTCAGCTGTGGCCACTCTGTCAGCCAATTTGCTGCTTCGATCTTCACTCGCTTGTTGAGCTTCAAGTGCACAAGCTTGCAATAGTTGCAATGCATTCTTCAGTGTGATCTGCTTCTCTCGTAAATCTTCGATCGCACTCGACATGGCCCTGTTGTCTTTGTGGACGCTCGCAGCCCCTTCTTTCTTCACCTCGTCAACTTCGAATTGAAGAGCTACTACCGTCCCACTTAGAAGATGCTGAGTATCAAGGCACTTCTTCAACACATCCTTGACTTCTGTGTGTCCGTGTTCAAGTTCCTGTTGGAGTTGGCTGAGTCGTTGCTGCAGCTCTCCACAATGTGTTTCGTATCGGCCAGCATTCTCTGATGCTTCAGCTCGCCATGATGCGTCTATTTGGTGCACTAGCTGCTCCAATTCTTTGCCCTGAAACACCAGTCCGTCAACACTAATCCTTTCCTTTAAAAAAGAAAATCCAGAGAAAGTTTACCAGCTGAGCCACCGTTCTTTCCAGTTGAAAACTCTTCTCCGACACAGACGAACGCACAAGTGCCAACTCCTGTATAACCGCAAAACGACCGCTAAGCTCTACCTTCTCTCTTACGTGTATCAGCCGCTGCCCTACGCACCTGGTCGAGCGTGAGTGTTGTTGTGTCTGTCAGATTCTCCACCTTCCGCTCTGTAGCTGCTTGGCTTGAGTGAACCTCGTCAATTCGAGCCTCAAGTGCAAACACGTGCGCCTTCAGCTCCTCAATCTCTTGCTGGAACTGATGCTTAACATCACCAAGAACTGCATCGTTGGTTTCAGCGAGAAATGGCAGATACTCTTGGCATTGTTGGAATTGTTCTTCCAGTGTGACCATACGCGGCTGCTGACGCTCCAACTCGGCTGATAACTTTTCCATCCATGTCTCCACTTTAGCTGCATGTCCTGCGAGTTCACTTTGTGCCTGCTGTGACGTCTGCTCCACGTATTCCTGGTTGAGTCGAAATACTTTGGAGAGCGACCCGAGCTTCTGATCGTTGGACATCTGGGAACTCTCGAGTTCCACCAGTCGTTTCTCAAAGGTCTGCGTGGATAAGCAAGCGGCTGACACCCGCTCCAGCTGCACCTCAAGAAAAGAAATATATGCATTGCGATCTGTTAGTAGTTTCTTGGTGTTCTTCTCGTTGCAGTGCTTGAGCAAGGCATTGCTACGCATGTAGTCATCGTAGTAGGAACCAGAGCCTTGTGCCATAATGGTCGGAGTATCGGGGCAGCCTTAACGGTTTTGCGCCGGTTCGGACCATTTTGCAAAGCTTGACAAGACACAGCGAAAGATATGGCGGCAGCGGCTCCGAATGAGGTGGAGGAAGTGATCAAGCAGCTCAAGAGCAAGCCTGGCTTCTCGTCTTACATTCTCATGAATAATGACGGCATCGTGGTCAAGTACGAGAATCTTGAGTACAAGGAGGCTATCATGCACGCCTACCACGTGCTCAGTCTCTACGGCCGCACTAAGAAGCATTTGTACAAGCTCTTTCCGGACCCAAACGAGAGCGAGATCGAGTGGTTGAGACTGCGCACCAAGATGCATGAGATGATTATCGCCCAACACTTGAGGTTTACCCTCGTGGTCTTACAGCAGGCAGAGGCGACGGATACAGCGCCAGAGCCCATCGGACGTGGAGTCGTAGAGGAGACTGCGAATGGAACGAAGGAGGAGGAGAAGCCTGTACCCGCTACATGACCGAGTGGTGGGCATAGTTGTTTGAAGTGGCAGTTCAACATCAACCAGAGTGATGGACATTCTAGTTGAAGTTGGAGTGCGCTTTAACAAATCACATGTTTGCTCATAAACTTACCGCGTTCTTCAGTACTATAAAATTTGCAACTGAGGGAGCTCGCTCGTCCTGCTTTATGGTACGAAAATGGCATTTAGCACACCGCACCCGACGACCATCACGTACACACGCGAGTCGGCAAGAGTCACACCCTGACCCTGACACTAGTGGTGAATAAGAGCAGCTTGGAATCAGAATAATTTAAACAATCTAAAAACTTTCTAAATTATATAAGCTATATCAAAATGAATTATAATAACTCAAAACTGCGCCTTGAACTTCTATCACTCTATGCAATACATTTTAACATATAAAGTGGGTTCGCCGGGAATTAGTGATGGTTTCGAGTAATTTCGAAAATATTTAAAACGATTTGCTTGTGCAGTATTAATTGCGAAATTGCTCAAAATAGATCAAAACAACCCTAGGTCGACCGCTTATCAGAATGTTGATAACGCAGCATTCTGTTCTGGCATCTCTCTCTCGAGGGCTTCATGGCTTTCTGGATAAGAGTGCACCCGTGCCCAGTCTGCAGCCTCCTTCTGAGCGGCGTGATGATTAACGTAGATGTACGCTAGCATATCGACCTTCTCTGTCGTCAGCTTGTTGCGCTTCTTGGAATGGATGAAATCCATGATGCTCCATGCTCGCTCGCTTGCCGCCGAGGACGTCGGTATTGCAAATACGAGCTTGGCGATCTCCCACAGCAACGGATACTCATTTCGGTTAGAAGACCACCAGTCCTGAGGATCCGCTCCCGCATATATCGCTCTCTTTGCAGCTGGCCACCGCCGCTTCTTACCAGCAAAGCGATACAAAGCTTGATTGAACTGATTTCTAGTCACTCGTAAGCGCGTAAGTATACCCGTCCTTGTTGCAAACGCACATCCTTGCTCGATAGTATCACCTTCGTCGGAGCCGACAAAGCGATTCAGGTCAGTGTGGGGGTCTAGGAGAAATGCTAACCCTGCAGCGTCAGTGTGCACAAAATCCCAGCGATATTTAACACACGCCTTGATTGACGCTTGTAGATCCGACTGTTCAGTCTCAGTGCCGTAAGCAGGGTGGTTTAGCAGCTCCTAAAACCGAGAATAAACGCGTGAGATTGGACAGTTGTCTGACTCGAGCTCACGAAGGGTTTGAATCACGGGGTCAAGAAATCCCACAACTTGTTCAAGCTATTCCAAAATCCCCGATCTTTGATATTTCTTCTCACTTGACGGCATTTTTCTTTAGCTGTTGCGCTTGAGGCAGAATTCCGGATTAAATCTGAAAATTGCGGCTCCAAATACAGTTTTTAGCACGTTCTTATTCTCAAGCACCCGGGATAGACATACGTGGAGAGAATACCAACGCGTGCTGACGGGTACAACCAACGCTCTGTGATGTTCGTTTAGCGTCTCGCTCAGTGTTGTTTGAAACTGGCTAAGCACGGCGTGATGGTCTCGGACATACGTGGTAATAGCAAGTGCTTTGGTTTGAGCAGCTTTGAAGAAGTCCAGCTTGAACAAGTCCTCAACCAATAAATTCAACACGTGAGCAGAGCAACCTCCTGTAAAGATTGATCGAGATCTCTCCAATATTCCTCTTGCAGCCTCCATATTACTAGCATTGTCTGTCAGTATTCCAGCAATTACGGCCCCTGTTTCCCGTTCGACTTCATCAATAACTCTACCTAGGTGTTCTGCCAAATACTCGCCCGTTTCTGAATCCGTGCCAAGTGCTAATGAAGACCAAAACATGGACGGCATTCCCGGAGCCACGACCATAAAGTTAATAATGGTTGAATGGTTGACATTAGCCCAGGGATCTGTTACAATAGAGACGAATCTTTGCTCGCGAATGATTTCAATAGTCTTCTGGCGAATTTGATCGCGTGCTTGTCGAAGCAACGCACCACTGAGTCTTTGTCGAGATGGGAATCGGATCCACGGGGCCAGCAACTTAAACGGGCTCCGAAATGCCTCGGATTCCACCAGCGTAAATGGCAGTGCACACAGGTAGAACATGGCGGCCAACGCAACTTCAAACTGAAGTTGCAGCTGGGCGGGTGTTGACACTGGTACTGACTGTGCAGTGTTGACACCCAAGGTCGAGTGTGCATTATCACCAGAAGCAAGAAGAGGCCTATCAGATGCTGAAAATACTGGATAATGTTGGACGCTTGGGAAGTAGTCAATAACGCGTTGTTTAACAGCGGCAGGAGCATCTGGGCAGCGCTTAAGGTGACGTTGCATGTTCGTCCCCGGTTGGTCACTGCGGACAATCGCTCTGCAATAGTTACACTCAGCATGCGGCTTCGACGACCCATCCGTCACCTTTTCGAAGTAGCTCCAAAGCAAGTGCTTTGGGCGTCCGGGCCGCCGGGCAGCTTCAACACGCGGTGTTCGTACTTGAACAAATGGTGAAGCTGTAACTCGCCGAGAAACAAGTCTAGGAGATCGACGTGGCTGGGGCGAGGTCATCCGCTGGCTGTAGGGAGACACTGGTTCCGTGTCGTGATCCTGCTGATAGTGATGGTTTCGAGTAATTTCGAAAATATTTAAAACGATTTGCTTGTGCAGTATTAATTGCGAAATTGCTCAAAATAGATCAAAACAACCCTAGGTCGACCGCTTATCAGAATGTTGATCACGCTGCATTCTGTTCTGGCATCTCTCTCTCGAGGGCTTCATGGCTTTCTGGATAAGAGTGCACCCGTGCCCAGTCTGCAGCCTCCTTCTGAGCGGCGTGATGATTAACGTAGATGTACGCTAGCATATCGACCTTCTCTGTCGTCAGCTTGTTGCGCTTCTTGGAATGGATGAAATCTATGATGCTCCATGCTCGCTCGCTTGCCGCCGAGGACGTCGGTATTGCAAATACGAGCTTGGCGATCTCCCACAGCAACGGATACTCATTTCGGTTAGAAGACCACCAGTCCTGAGGATCCGCTCCCGCATATATCGCTCTCTTTGCAGCTGGCCACCGCCGCTTCTTACCAGCAAAGCGATACAAAGCTTGATTGAACTGATTTCTAGTCACTCGTAAGCGCGTAAGTATACCAGTCCTTGTTGCAAACGCACATCCTTGCTCGATAGTATCACCTTCGTCGGAGCCGACAAAGCGATTCAGGTCAGTGTGGGGGTCTAGGAGAAATGCTAACCCTGCAGCGTCAGTGTGCACAAAATCCCAGCGATATTCAACACACGCCTTGATTGACGCTTGTAGATCCGACTGTTCAGTCTCAGTGCCGTAAGCAGGGTGGTTTAGCAGCTCCTAAAACTGAGAATAAACGCGTGAGATTGGACAGTTGTCTGACTCGAGCTCACGAAGGGTTTGAATCACGGGGTCAAGAAATCCCACAACTTGTTCAAGCTTATTCCAAAATCTCCGATCTTTAATATTTCTTCTCACTTGACGGCATTTTTCTTTAGCTGTTGCGCTTGAGGCAGAATTCCGGATTAAATCTGAAAATTGCGGCTCCAAATACAGTTTTTTAGCACGTTCTTATTCTCGAGCACCCGGGATAGACATACGTGGAGAGAATACCAACGCGTGCTGACGGGTACAACCAACGCTCTGTGATGTCCGTTTAGCGTCTCGCTCAGTGTTGTTGGAAACTGGCTAAGCACGGCGTGATGGTCTCGGACATACGTGGTAATAGCAAGTGCTTTGGTTTGAGCAGCTTTGAAGAAGTCCAGCTTGAACAAGTCCTCAACCGATAAATTCAACACGTGAGCAGAGCAACCTCCTGTAAAGATTGATCGAGATCTCTCCAATATTCCTCTTGCAGCCTCCATATTACTAGCATTGTCTGTCAGTATTCCAGCAATTACGGCCCCTGTTTCCTGTTCGACTTCATCAATAACTCTACCTAGGTGTTCTGCCAAATACTCGCCCGTTTCTGAATCCGTGCCAAGTGCTAATGAAGACCAAAACATGGACGGCATTCCCGGAGCCACGACCATAAAGTTAATAATGGTTGAATGGTTGACATTAGTCCAGGGATCTGTTACAATAGAGACGAATCTTTGCTCGCGAATGATTTCAATAGTCTTCTGGCGAATTTGATCACGTGCTTGTCGAAGCAACGCACCACTGAGTCTTTGTCGAGATGGGAATCGGATCCACGGGGCCAGCAACTTAAACGGGCTCCGAAATGCCTCGGATTCCACCAGCGTAAATGGCAGTGCACACAGGTAGAACATGGCGGCCAACGCAACTTCAAACTGAAGTTGCAGCTGGGCGGGTGCTGACACTGGTACTGACTGTGCAGTGTTGACACCCAAGGTCGAGTGTGCATTATCACCAGAAGCAAGAAGAGGCCCATCAGTTGCTGAAAATACTGGATAATGTTGGACGCTTGGGAAGTAGTCAATAACGCGTTGTTTAACAGCGGCAGGAGCATCTGGGCAGCTCTTAAGGTGACGTTGCATGTTCGTCCCCGGTTGGTCACTGCGGACAATCGCTCTGCAATAGTTACACTCAGCATGCGGCTTCGACGACCCATCCGTCACCTTTTCGAAGTAGCTCCAAAGCAAGTGCTTTGGGCGTCCGGGCGCCGGGCAGCTTCAACACGCGGTGTTCGTACTTGAACAAATGGTGAAGCTGTAACTCGCCGAGAAACAAGTCTAGGGAGATCGACGTGGCTGGGGGCGAGGTCATCCGCTGGCTGTAGAGAGACACTGGGTCGGGTCCGTGATCCTGCTGATAGTGATGGTTTCGAGTAATTTCGAAAATATTTAAAACAATTTGCTTGTGCAGTATTAATTGCGAAATTGCTCAAAATAGATCAAAACAACCCTAGGTCGACCGCTTATCAGAATGTTAATCACGCTGCATTCTGTTCTGGCATCTCTCTCTCGAGGGCTTCATGGTTTTCTAAATAAGAGTGCACCCGTGCCCAGTCTGCAGCCTCCTTCTG